ATTTGAATAAGGCCTTTTATTATTGGCATTTCATCACATACCCCTCCTTCCCTGCTGTGCATATGCTTAGAACAATTTAATAAATATACTGTATTTTCCTTCTCTATTTCAAGCTCATATCATAGTTAAGATCCTTAATTATTTCTGTTAACCAAGGAGATTTGAGTATTTGATCTTCGCACAGTTTGGGGAAACCACTTCTGTGTACACACTGGAAAGTAAAGGAAAATACGTATATCTAAAGCTAAAATGAGAAGAGAGGACCCTCATGAGCTAAGAAAATTTATTTTAAAAGATGATTTAGATATCTAATCATTTAAGCTACCAGCTTAAATGTATATAAATACAAATATTTAATGTACATAAATATTTGGTCTTATCAAATATTTATATACATTATACAGTTAGCAGAGTAATTCCATATGCAATTAATTTTATTTCTCTGCATTCAGGAAACATTTTCAACCCATCATCCATTCAATTTAAAAAGAACTGAGTCATTTTTCTGCCTCTTTGTGAGGACACTGAAACCATGATTTTCAGTCACAGAAAACCCAATACAAACTATTCCCTGACTTATGACTTGCCTTGCAGGCAATAGTAGGTCTGTTTGTATTACATTCAACACTGACAAGAAATAATTATCTGATGAAGTATTTTGTTCAACATAGTCAATACGTGCTACCCTGACAGTATAAACTCCTACTCTCCAGGACAGAACTAACAGCCTTCTGATGGTGCATTTAGCTTTTACCCTTCCTTTCCTTTGGAGAAGCATGATCAGTACTACTTAGAATATGAATATCTCTTTTAGTCAGAAAGGCCAGTGTTATAGGATAACCATTGTGATTGGTAAAAAAAATAATAATTAAGGTCTGTAGGAGTAATAGTTTGGGCTAATATTATTCCCCCACTCTTTTTTTTTTTTTAATGTAGGGGGAAAGGAAAGGGAGAAAAAGAGGTAAGAAAATAATTTAAGTATGCACAAGAAGTATTTTCCAATACTTGAATTAAAACAAACTCCAATAGCAAAGAAAAAAAATCACTGTTTCATAATACCTGATATAATCAGCAAACTTTCTATTAAAAAGATAAAGAAACAATGATAGCAGAAGCACAGTTCATAAAAGCACAGTAAAATTTCCGTGATCCAAAAATATATCAGTAAGAAATGAAAAAATAAGCAACAGACAGAAAATATTTTGCAAAAACACCTGATAAAAAATTTTAACCAGAATTTACAACATTATTACATAAATAAGAAGACAGAAAACTCAATAAAAAATGTGCAAAGGTTTGAGTAGCTATTTCACTAAGGAAGATATATGATAGCTAATAAATACACAAAATGTGCTCAGCATCATTAGTCATTAGAAAATGAAAATTAAAACCACAAGATAACATTTCATACCTAATCAAAAAGCTATTATAAGGGATAAGACAGTAATAAATGGTAGAGAAGAGGTGGAAAAACAGGAATCCCCATACTGTGGGTGGAAATGTAAAATGGTGCAGCCACTTTGGAAAACAGTTTGGCAGTTTCTTAAAAAGTTAAACATAAATTTACTCTATGATACATCATAGGCATCTATCCAAGAGAAATAAGAACATATGTCCACCCAAAGAATTACACATGAATGTTTATAGCAGCACTATTCACAATAATCAAAAATTGTAAAAACCTAAATGTTCATCAACTGGTGAATGGATAGATAAAATGTAGTAATAATAGCTGTAACAGCTGAATACTATTTGCAATAAAAAGGAACAAACTTCTGATACATGGATCAACCTCAAAAACATTATAACAGACATAAGAGACCACATATTGTATGACTCCACTTATATAAAATGTCCAGAAAAGGTAAATCTAAAGAGATAGAAAGTAGATTAGTAGTTGCCTGGAGTTCAGGATGGGAATGAAATTAACATTAAATAGACATGACAAGTCTTACTGGGATAATAAAAATGTTTTAAAACTGATTCATGATGAAGGCTGCATAGCTTGGTAAATATGTGAAAAATTACTGAGTTAGGTGAATTACTCAATATGGGTGAATTTTATGTGTAAAATATAGCTAAATATACTGGATTTTAAAAAGAATAAATTTCACAGAAACTGCTGCTACCACTGAACTAAGGTGGAAATTGGAATAATTTCTAGCCAGTCTGGGTACCTAACAACTTCAACAAATGAATAAGTATTAATTTATTGAAGTTACTAGGTTAATATATACTAAAAACAGTTATTTCTTCAAAGTTCTAGTTATGTTGCCTAAGACTGCTATTTCTAAACCAAAACCAAGGGAAAATCCTTCTAGAAAGAAGTTTATTTTTTTTAAAATATATTTTATTGATTTTTTACAGAGAGGAAGGGAGAGGGATAGAGAGTTAGAAACATCGATGTGAGAGAGACATGGATCAGCTGCCTCCTGCACATCCCCCACTGGGGATGTGCCCGCAACCCAGGCACATGCCCTTCACCGGAATCGAACCCGGGACCTTTCAGTCCGCAAGCCGACGCTCTATCCACTGAGCCAAACCGGTTTCGGCTAGAAAGAAGTTTAAATATATATATATTTTTAAATTGAGGTATGATTTACAGAAATTATGTAAATCTTATGTGTATAGCTCAATACATTTTTTATACACACATACATTTTACAAACAGACACACCCATGCAACCACCATTCAGATCAAAATATACAAGCAGAAGGCTCCTTTATTTGATAATCCCATCAAAGGTAACCACTACTTTAGTTCTATCACTATAGAAGTGCCATAGTTTTGTCTGTTTTTCTGAACTTTATATAAATATACATACTTCATACATTCCATAATGTTGTCTGTAACAGTAGTACCTTCATTTTCATTGTTGTATACAATTTATTTTCCAGTCTACTATTGACGGACAGTTGAATTTTCAACTTTTGGGAATTAAGAATAAAACAGACACAAACATCCTTATTATTGGTCCTTTGGTGAACATCAGAACTTATTTTTGATGGGAATTCAAATAGGAGGAGTAAAATTGCTAGATTTTAGGTAACATGCATATATAGCTTTATATGTCCTTAATTAATCTTGCCAAGCAGCTTTTTAAAGTGGTAGTATCAATTTATTAATATACTCCCACCAGCAATGTTTGACAATTTCAATTGCATTACATCCTCACTATCAATGGTACTGCCATTCCTTTTAATTTTTTGGGTATGGGTATAGTAGTAACTCATTGTCAAGAACCGTGAAGGATCTGATATTTTGCAGATATTACTTAGAATATTGGCATTTCCTAGGATTTTTATGTAAATGGAATCATATACTATGTACTTTAAAAACTATCTGGCTTCTTTCACTAAACATAATTATTTTGAGATTCATTAGTTGTTATAGTATCAATAGTTCATTTCTGCCCTAGCCAGTTTGACTCAGTGGATAGAGCGTCAAGTCAGCCTGTGGATTGAAAGGTTCGATTCCAGACAAGGGCACCTGTGGGAGGCAACCAACTGATGTGTGTCTCTCTCACAGTGATGCTTCTTTCTCTGTCTCTCCCCTTTTCTTCCGCTCTCTCTAAAAAACAACAGTAACAACAAAAATTCCCCCCACCCCCAAACAAACAAATAAATAGTTCATTTCTTTTTGTTGCTGGGTAGTATCCATTGCAAAGACATACTATAATTAGTTTATCCATTCACCTGTTGATGGACATTGTTCACAATTTTGGCTATTACAAAGAGATTTGCTATAAACACTTGTGTATGTCGTTATGCTTTCATTTGTGTACATATACTTTTATTTGTATAAATACTATTGGGCTTTTCACCTCACAATGTCTTTCTCATAAGTTATAGCATGCTAGGATTCTAATATGACATCATGGGTAAGGATCAATATATTTAAAAAAGGCCTAGGAGAGAAAATATTCTATCACCATATTAAAGCAAATAATCTTGAAAAGTTAATAATAAAATCTTCTGAATTACTGTTCTGCCAGGTGAGGCATTGTCTGCATGACGCATGACACATGATGACAGATGCTGCTGGTCTCCCAGAGGTTGGAACAAAGAGTGACGGTTTAGAAAAGGTATGAAAATGAAAAGAACTGGGAAAGGCAAGAAGCATTACACTATCACCTGCATAAATAATTATATCTGGGAACTAAGAGAACTTGACTACAGTAAGTAATTTATTATCTTGTATCAGTAAAATAATTCTATCCAATCATTCATCAGGGAAGTGAAAAAGACAGATTGTGATTTTATAGTATGGACAACGTTCAAACGATGACACATTTTTAAAATGCCAGAATTCCCAATTATTCTGCAAAAGTTCCTGGTCTGAATTATTAAATAGTAACTTAGGTGTATAAAAAATATCTTTAGACATCAATTCTAAATAGCTGCTTAAGAATAATGGCTTTATATTCCAGCCATTTAAACTTCGGAACCATTTCTTTATGACTGAGGCTGCTAGTGGTATTTATTAGTTATTCTTTAGCAATGTAGGCATCTGGTAATTCTTTTATAATAAGATAGCCAGATATTGTGGAAACAGTGAGCCGTAGAATATGGAAATGAAATTCTTGCCTCTCTGCCACTCCCTTAAACCAGAGGATGATTTCTGGTAATACAAACTCTACTGAAATATACTTCAATTTAATTTAATTTAATGTTTTTTAAAACTTTAAAATCTCAAACTGAAATCCCTTCAAAGACTTCTGTGAGAAAAATGGTTTTTAGAAGTTCAACAATGTACTTTATAAGATTCTTTTTCTGATTTTGAGTGTGTTTTTATGTATTTTGGGGAGAACTAAACAATCAACCTCTTGAGGAACACAAGCCTTCCCCCAAGTTAAAAAAGATATACACATGTGTAATACCCAAACACAAAAGAGCAGCTTAATCAAAGAAGATGAATGAGAAATTTAAATACTGTAAGAGAATTTATTTTCATTTCAATAGATATGCCGGTAAAATGGTCATTATTTTGAAAACCTTACCTGCTACTGAATTTGGTCGTGGCATAAGATACAGAGGAATAGATTGTACTGATTGTGATAAAACTGTTTCCAAATTCCTCTCTGGGATCTTATTCAGACTATAGGTGGAAGCTGTCATATTTTCATCTACTCGGTATAAACAGGAATCCATGCTGGATTTTTGAGATTGCCAAGGTTTTAGATTTCCTCCAGATCCTAATTCTTTACTGCTTTCCCCAACATATTTTGTGCGTTCTACATTTTCAGAATAGCTTGTCAACGTAGCTAGAAAAAAAGAGTAAAATGAATTGTTTAAAAACAACAACAACAACAACCCTGGAGATTAATCTGTTAGTACTATCCAAATTCAAGACTAGATAGTAAGAATATTAGTTACATTATTTTTTAAAAGTTACTAATGATCTTTTCATTTCCACCATGAAGTTTAGATAATTGAAACCAAAGTATATTTCTCACATATTTTCTCTTATCTCTCTTATTTTTACCTTAACTCTATTTAAATAAATTAAACAAACTCCTACATCAGTGCTAAAGGACAAACAAGGAAGGCCTGTCAATGCTAAAATGTTCAGAATTTCATCAAAAGGAAATTTATATAATTTTCATGAATTACTGGAGTGCTCCAGAGGTCTCAAAAAGATCTTTATTTTTATACTCTTTTTATCTTATATTTTCCCACATTTAAATTTATTTCCTGGTCCTTTAAGTGTAACAAAGAACTAGGAAAAAAAAAACACCAGTCCCTAAGAAGAAGCTAATAGAGGAGAAAGAATCTGTCCTAATAAGGAGGCAATACAGGGCCTTTTTGTTTGTACCTTGAACGGTAGCTCTAATCCTATCTAGTCCCATAATGAAATCAAACAAAAACCTAAAAGGCTTCTAGAACTTTATTGAGTCTTATCACTAATTATAAACAGGAATTATAAACAGGAAAATTTCCATCAACCTTAGATATGGAAGGGCTCAAATACATTAAAACCTAGATTATAAAAATCTCAGCAATAATTATAAAACAAGAATATTATCCTAGGAGAGTTTTTAAATGTTAGTTCATATTCTCTTCTTTCATTTTAAATATTCCTATTGTTAAAAGAAGAGACTTAAGTTCATGAGGTAATTTCTATGTTTCTTTTCAGTGAAGTTTTCTCTTTGGAAATTTAAATGGAAGTTCTGGACTTTGTTGTAACAAGGAAAGAAGGTGAATTACAAAGACAGACACCCTGCTTGCCTTCCTGCCTTGCAGCTCTTTATCAAAATACGTCCTCTGTGCATCTGAGAATTAAGTGCTGCCAACCAGTCTCCATATCCCCACTGATATTAGGGAGCCCAGTGCCATGGCAACATCTCCCTGTCAACTCCATCAGAGTGGGCAGTCACCATCAGGCTTCTCAAAATACCAGTGGCCCCCACCTCCACTTAGTCATGAGTTATCCTTTTTATATATTGTCCCTATTATCCTTTTTATATATTCCTGGATTCAATTTGTTGAGAGTTTTGTTAAGGATAACAATTATCAGCTTTTTTGAAAACTGTAAGCTTGTGTAATTATTTTAAAAAATACATAAAATGATTAACATCAAAACCAACTCACCAATGATGCCACTATCTCTGCTTTCGAGGGTGGAAGTTGGACTAGTGACAGCCCCATAGGTGCAGTCCTTGGCTGTTGCATTTGAACTGACTGGTGGGAGGGTGGAGCAGGGGCTACCAGCTGGTGGGGAGGCAGTGCTGCTAGTCAAGGTGGAACAGGGGCTTATCCGCTGGGTGATTGCTGAGGTCTGAAAAATCGGAATGAAAAATAAGATAAACTGATCAGCTGTTAAAGTAAAATATTATCTTATGGTAAAACATAATCTTTGATGAGAAGAAGAAAATCTGCATGCAGCTTGTATATTTTTTGCGGTTCTATTTGTTTTTGCCTTCCAGGATAAGATATTCTGCATTTTACAATTAAGGTGATACTTAAACTTAAAATGAGCAGAGACTGTGGCCAGTTTTTCTGCCTAGAAAATTTCCAGTAACAAGTATTCTTTATCATTAACATGAATTAATGGAAAATATTTTAAAATTAAGCACAAGTTGATCTTGCTGTTTCCAATCAATAAAACTTCTGAAAGCTTGGAACTTTGTCTTGTTCATAATTTTTCTTTGGATAGAAAAAAATCTCCAAATGAGAAAAAATTAAAAAAAGGTTCATAATGCAAATAATTGTGTTTTGGAAACATAGGAGGCTGCCCAGAAACAATAAATGAATGCAGGGAAAATGCTTTAATCTAAAAGTTAGTCTAATAAAATAGATCAAACAATATTAATTTAATTAAAAACTTAATTTTTCTGTAGAAACTGATTATTAAGATCTCTTTGTATCCTGAGTAATTCTTACACCTGAAGTTACCTCCTTTTTAAGTTTCTGATGTGAAGGAATAAAAATAATCACAAAAAAAGATTGGTGGTAATATATTCTGTTTTACTGAATTTAATAATAATTCACTTTTCTTTAGCTCTTTCTACTCAAATAAATTACTAACATAATGAATAAAAGTACTATTTTTTCAAAAACTAAAGAAAGTCTATCCTTTTCAAAATGTGTGTTGTGACAAAATCACATGAAAGAAAACTGATGATAAATTTCACATCTTTAATTCTTAATTTTAAAAGAAGCTTTTCAACTTCTTTAAATAGTCTTCATATTCTTTCTGCTGAAATGAAGATTTACATTTAATATTTGATTGAAAAAGGTGTTGATTACTAGATATGAGAATATTAAAGCTCTTTGACTCACCCTAAAATATTTCTAGATGCAATCCCTTGTATTAAATTCCCCACTGGAATCCATGCACCAGGCCTCTAGTATGCATATAAGATCTTTGGTTAATCTCTTCCCGCTCTCCCTCTTCCCCCCTTCCCTCTGAGATTCATCAGTTTGTTCCATGTTTCCATGCCTGTCGTTTCTGCTCCTGTGTTGAGCGTCTGCCCCTGGTGGTCAGTGCATGTCATAGTTACCAGCTGGTCGGCCAGTTGGCCGGTCACTTAGGCTTTTATACATATATAGATAGATACTTTACCTTTGTTTAATGCTATACAGTTTTTTTAAATTTTAATGTATTATTTCATTTACTCCTTTATTAACTAAGTATAAGACATATTATTTCCCTCATTTAAGAAATTTGAAAATGAAAGCTATAAAATAGCTTATTTTTTTACATATACATATAGCTTATATATTTATATACTAATTATATTGCATATTATTTTATACCCTTTATTTATATGGCATTTTATAGCTTACAAAGTATTTTAATATTTATGATTTAACTTGATCCTAACAACAATCCTGTCAGGTGTTATTATTTCATATTACACTAGAATAGTATGGTTCTTAACAGACTGCCTGGATTTAAATATTACTATACCACTTTCTGACAGTGTGTTCCCATTTTTTTATATCTAAAAGTTAATATAAATGGACTCTACTACATTGGGTTGTAAGGAAGATTAAATATATATATATGAATTTTACTTATTGGCTTATTTACCCATTCTTTTTCTCATTCATCCAATAAATGAATCAAAACCTTAATATGACTTTTGAAAGCTAAAAATGAAACTTAAAGGTGTTTTATAAACAGAACAGATAGAGTGATTATGGAAAATTAAGTTATATCTTCAGGCCTCAAAAAGCATTCAACAATTGGGATTATTCCTCTCAACACACACACACACACCCCTGTGAAATTTGCCCTTTCCTGGTATAACAGGTTGATTCAGCCCATGTTTCACAGAATTAGTGACAAGCAGTTTACCTGATTTTCATCTTCTACTTCCATGTTGTATTGGTCACCTGGCTGAACTTCTGTGACTTTCTCTCCAAGGAGGAAACCCAGACGAGTCATGAGTGTGTTTGCTGCCTCATCTACAGATGGAGGGGGACCAAGTTCCTGTTCAGCATCACCTAAAACAGGAAGACATCAAAACATGAATCTATCAAAATAAAATGGCCTATTTCTACAACTATTATTATATTTAGCTTGGTCATTTCCTTTGTTTTCACATTGTAAATCCAAAATAACAGGGTCCCTGTCTAAGAACCTGATTTTCCCACATTTACATATTATAACTGAATACTCTACTCAGATTATCCTCTATTTATTTACTTAAAATGACTCTGAGAGAATGTTTTTGTAACTTTCTGAATAGAAAAAGTTTCCCATTTCTTTGGCAGTTAGCCTTCTAATACAGTCCTCATCGTGGGATCTAGTTCCTGGTCATAATCACCACCTTTATTCAGGCTTTTTTTTCTTTAGAGTTTGTGTAACTATTCTTAATTTTTAAATTAAATCAGTTCAAACTTACAAAAAAAGTTTCAAGATAATACAAAGAATATTTTTTCCTTAACCATTTGAAAGTACTGACATGATGTCCCATCATCCCCAGATACTATGTATTTCCTATAAACAAAGACATTCTCTTACATAACTACAGTACCAGCACAGAAATCAGGAAACTAACATTTTACATTATTATGATCTCATGCACAGACCCCATTTAAATTTTCACATTTGTCCCAGTAATGTCCTTTCTAGCAAAAGGAGCCAACAATTTAGGATTAATCAATGCATTTAGTTTTCAGTTCTCTTTTCTTTCTTTTGATCTGGAACAGTTTCTCAGTCTTAACTTTCATGACCTGACACTTTTGAAGATTACAGGCCAGTTGTTTTGCACAATGCCTCTCAATCTGAGTTTATCTTATGTTACCTCATGATTTGACAAAGCACTGCTGTGTTAACTTTGATTGCTTGGTTATGGTAGTATCTGTCAGATTTCTCTACTCCAAAATCACACTTTTTCTCTTTGTAGTGAATAACTATTTTTCAGGGGGATACTTTGAGACTATGTAAATATTCCCTTCTTCAACAAACTCTCAAATTAAAAAAAAATATTGTGATAAACACATTTGTCATTTTAACTGTTTAAGTATAAAATTCAGTGGCATTAAGTACTTTGATAATGTGCAACTTTTTCCACTGTCCATTTCCAGAATTTTTTATTCTTCCCCCAAAGAAACTCTGTAACCATTAAATAATAACTCCCAATTTCTCCCCTTACTAGTACCTAGTATCCTCTCGTCTACTTTCTGTCTCTGTGAATTTGCCTATTCTAGGGATCTCATATGAATACAATCAAACAGTATTAGTACTTTTACGTCTAGCTTATTTCACTTTGCGTAATGTTTTCAAGGTTTATTCATGTTTTAGCATGTATCAGAATTTCACTTTTTATATTTCACCCCTTTTTATGACTGAATAATATTCCATTGTATGTATATAACACATTTAGTTTACCTATTCATCTGATGTTGGACACTTGGGTTGTTTCAAAATATACTATCTTATGAATAATGATGATAGTATAGACACTGGTGTACAAGTGTCAGTCTGAATCTCTCCTCAACAAATTTTGCCTCTTACTTTTAGCAACCATTAATTTTCTTGGTTGAATTATCACCATGCTTGCCAAAGAATGATTTTTCTAAATTAATTACTCTTTCTATGGTGTACTTTCTTTTATCCATCCATCCAAACTCAAAGATTCCTATCTTATTTAATGAGGTTATAATCTGTTACTACCATTATTTATTTTGTTACGTAGATTGCCCCAGATTTGGCCAGGGTAAGCTCTTTCAATTTGGCCTCTGTAACCTTTTGTCTTATCCCTGTCATTTTCTGAGCACTTCTTTGCTTTTTGGCACAAGATGTTCCAGGTTCATCTTGTACTGTCTCTGCCTGGAATGAGTCTTTTTCCCAAGAAGCCCTGGCTCTTTTTAGTGAAGAAAGGTATTTAGAATATCAGGTATGTTCATTGCTATTAGGATGTCATTGTCCTCCAAGTCCACTCAGTGACTGAGTAAGTCAGTATATTCATACACATACATACATATATGTATGCATACATAAACATACAGTAAAGGGGTTTGTTTATACAACCCCTCCTAAAATTCACAGTGATGCTCTAATTCCATACAGTTAATTATAGTTTTTCTCCTTTCCAAAGCTGTAACTCTGTTCCCCAATAATGACAAATCTGGCTCTCATTAGCCTTAGTTACTTCATCTAGTCCCCCTACATGTAACAAATTTCACTGTTGTTCATTGCCACCTTGCACACAGATGCTCTACTTACCCTGATTGGGTTCCTACCCCATGCTAGAGAGACCTGGCTTACCACTTCTCCCACAGTCAGATAATTTTTTCAATATTGGTATATATAATTAACATACCATAAACTATCACCTTGAAGTGTACAATTCAGTGCCTTTTAGTAAAGTTATGCAACCATCACAACTCTCTAATCCAAGAATATTTTCTTCACTCCAAAAATAAACCCCTTTCAGGTTCATTTTTGCCCTGAAAATAGAACCCTTAAAATTCCTTATCTCTGGCATTCATTTTAATCCTCTGCTTCCAGACTACTACATTCTTTCCATACAATTAGTTTTTAGAGTCTCTTTCTATTTAGACTACTTTTCAGTAGTTACCAGCTACAGAAATTAGTCTTTTTCAAACCTTGTCCCTGAGGGATGCCGAACAAAGTCAGTATAAGGTTCTTCCTTGGCCTCACCATCAAGATAAATTTATTTCCAAATAAAGAATGTATAGAAATCACATAAAAAGAAACAAGGGAACTAAAGATGACCTATTCTAAATGTGATGCAGAATCATTTATCTAAACTAAATACCTATTTACATTAACTTGATTCAATGTCAACATTTTTTCAGGTTTTGTTTTACATTCAGATGCATTTAATCTAACCGTATAACAATTCACAGTAGCACAGATCCTACAGGACATTACAAAAAAAAAATGTTTTAAGTCAGATATGTCCTTTCAGCTTAGCAAGCATTAGCTATAGTGTCACAGTTTGATGCCAAAATATAATAGCTTCTTAATTTTTAGAATATTTAGTATTATACATGAAACCATTCCAAATGGCAAGACATTGAGATGTACATAGTTATTATTCAGTTTAACATTTATCTTAACTTCTCTACTAAAGTCACAAGGTGGGGGTCAGAGGAAGGGACTATACATACATTGTTGTATACTATTATTTAACTCAAGTGTTCCATCTGTGGAAAATCTATACAGAATTCTCATCGACGTTATGTCAGAGTAGAAAAACAGGCTCTATTTTCCCTTCCCTATTTTCTTTCCAAGAGGCAACAAAAATAGATTTTTCTGCCACAGACAGAAATAAGAGAATTGGTATTTTTATGGTACAAATATATAGATTTATATAGATTTTCTCCCAAGAATGATTAAAAGCTTCTTGTTTCTTGATAAAATAAAAAGGTAACTGCTCATTAATTACTCTTTTCCCTTTCTATAGATTAAACTAGTTAAGCTTTTCCAAGTTTCTCTCTGCATAGATTCCTGACTTCTGGATATTCTGGGGTTCCATTTCACTTTTTTCTAGAAAGTTATACTGATAATTACCAAATACTTAAAAAGTAAATATAAATACTAGGTACTATGAGAATAAAACATGAAGGAGATATAGTCATTAACTTTAAAAAGTTTATAATCTATGTGAAAAATATGACATACTATATGCTTCATTTATTTAATATATAGTGCAAGTCACCGAACACTTCACAAATATTAACTTAATCTTCATAACAGCTTTATGAAGTAGGTATTATTACCTTATTTTACAAATGAGAAAATTGAGGCACAAAGAAATTAAGTTATCTACTCAAAGTCACAAACCTATAAATGGTTGTAGCCCAGGCTCCCCTACTCCAGAATCCATGCTCCCAACTAGTATGTTATACTGCCTCCCTCAATGGAAAGAAATATTACATTTAGTGAGAATGTTTATATAAGACACTAACCACAAAAGAAAAGATTGGTAAAGGATAGTTTATTAATACAAAAAGTTCTGCTCATTAAAGACACTATTAAAATGGTTAAAAAGCAAGCCATAGAGTGGGGAAAAGATATCTTTAATTCATATACCTTAAAAAGAACTCATATCTAGAATGTATAAAGAATCTGTATAAATTAATAAAAAAAAAGGCCATCCAATTTAAAAATGAACTAAAATATTTATACAGGAATTTACAAGAGGATAGCCAAGTGACCAATAAGTGTATATGGTAAAAAGCTATTCAACATTATTGGGAAATTATCATCAAAACCACACTGAAATACCAGTACATATGTGCAGTACAGAATAGCACACAAAACAAAGAAAAAAACAACCACCTGACAATCTAGATATATAAAAGTGTAATATGCAAATCAACCAAACAGCCGAACAACAGAATGACCATCTGGATGACCACACTATGACACATACTGGCACCAGGCCAGCCAAGGCGGGTGTGATGCGATTGGTTGGGGGGCCCCGCCGTGGCCCCACAATTGCCCACAGAGGGAGGCCCAGGCCACCGGCCAGTGGGGCAATCAATGTGGGGTAAGGAGGTGGGGTGACCGTGGACACGGGCAGCCCCAGGCCAAGGTGGGTGTGGGTGGGGGTGGGGCCAGCTGCAGGCAGGCCTAGGGACCCCACCCGTGCATGAATTTTGTGCACAAGGCCTCTAGCATGGGATAAAAGAGCATTTAAATACTGCCTATGTTGGTGGGAATGTAAATTGGTAGCATCAAATTTGGAAACAATTTTAAGCTGAACATACTGAAAACCTTATGACCCAGCATATTCACTACCAGATATACACCTAAAGGAGAGGTATACATAGGGGTAGCAAAATATATTTAATAAACATTTGTAAAATTGTTCATAACAGCCAAAATTGTAGGCATACAATGAAATATGACAGCTATAAAAGAGAATCTCACAACATACAATTGAACAAAGAAGAGCGACGGAAGAGAATACATACTAAATTATTACATTTATGTAAAGTCTGAAAACTGGTAAAAGAAATAATTG